TATATAATCTTTTTTATGTGTTGTTGGATTCTATTTGCTAAAATTTTGGTGAGGACATTCTGCAATTCTTAAGTTTATCTCTGAACGTGTATTTTGTTGATAAAGTCTGATATGTGAACAGAGGAGAGACACACGAGATATGTCTGCCATTTCTGGTTGCTCTGTTTGCATAGAGCATTTCCCATGCCACACAGGCATAGGATTCCTGTGCACCCATGACACTTGGGAGTTCACTGAGACTCAAAGCAGGGTGAAGGTAAACCTGTCACATCTATGACTAATTAAGCCTGAAATGCCTCTCTTTCCACTTGAACCAAAAGTTGCTTCAAATTTAGGGGAAAAAAAGGCAGTGGCGTGCTAAGAAACCCAAACAGCCAAGGCAGTCTGTCATGTCCTTTTTCAGTCATGTTACTTCCCTATTTTAGCCAACCACTTACACTAAGGATGATGCCATAGAAGGAAAGGAAATATAGGGAAATCCATAGTTTCTTTTCCTTTCAGTCACTCTTTACTCATCAGTAAACCAAAGGCAGCCAGTGTTGGTACAATGTGTATAAAAAAGTGAAATAAAACAGTTGAGTTTTGTGCAGTGTTTCCACTGTTCCAGTAAGAAAAAAAATACTAGTGCAAGTATGTCCTATGAAATACGGAGTGGCTAATTTTAGTGGTTCTGCATGCAAATTAAATGCTCTTATATTGCATTTAAAACTGACAGTGCACAAGTTAAGTGGTAGAGTTCAGGCTAATAATTTAAACTTTTAATTTTTTCTTTACTTAGAATGTTGTTAAATACAGAACATTTAAAACATGACCAGTCAAGTTGGTGGGGTGGGGGGACTGTGGAAGAAAAGCTAGTGTTTCATAATGCAGGACCTTGAAGCACATTTTTTTTTCTTGATTTTTCAGTTTGCACTGGGCTCCACAAATTAAGTATTGGGCCTTGGCTGACAGTGGCTGCGTTCCTCCACCCCAGGCCACAGTTCCTGATGGTGGCCCTTTCCTACAGCTAAAGGTTTCCCTGGGTGTCTGGGGCTGGTCCCTCTCCCTTTTGCCTTCCAGCTGACTGCTGGCAGCACTTCCCACTGTTGCCAGTTCTAGGTGGGTGGGGTATGCAGGGGAAGGAGGGAGGAATCACTTTCCCTAGTTTTCCTATAACCTCTGCCCACACCTTTGTAAGTCACTTTCCTCAGTCCCTCTTTTGTACTCCTCTGTTTTCATATGTTTTACTATAGACAGTTTCAAACATAGACAGATATAGAGAAACTAGTATAATGGATGCCCACCTACCCATTATCCATCGTCAACGATAACTTCTTTCACTCCCTTGGAGAGTGTACCATTTGTTTTTGCTGGGATCCTGGCTGATATGGGGCCTTCCTATGCAGTTGGGCTACTCTTCAGAGTCATTACACCCTTCTACTCAACAGGGAACAGCAACTTGGCAGACTATTTCTGAAAAGACCCAAATGGACATTATCCCACAGATTAAAATGGAGGAAGTGGCTTTATTTCCTGCCTGTTCAGTGAAACTTTGTTCTCTAACTCCCTCCTGCGCATCCTAACTCATCTTAAACCAGGCTTTGTTTTGTACACAAAACTGCAAAGAGAAGGCATACTTGGTGCCATTCAAAATAATTGAACCACATGAATCAACAGCATTTATTCCCATGGATTATTAAGCACTTTGTCATTTCACTCATGAGAGAAAAGGAAACACTTGGGAAGAATTTTTTCTTTGTGAGGAGGTCCTCTTTGTGAGAGGATTGATTACATGGTCATAGATCAGCAAGTATATTTGTCTTCTACAATTTCATGAAAATAATTTGGTCATTAATGAGATTTGCCAGTAAAGCAGAAAGGTCATATCCACAAGGATAGTCATTTGTAATACAAGACCGTGGTCTCTTTTCTCAGCAAGAGAAAGAATCATTCCAGATTTAGTCTTCTTACTAGTAGAGACAGTAAAAGTAATAGACTCTTCTATAAATAGGTATTTGGAATCAGACTCTTTCTCATCATGTCTCATCAGGGGTACCTTAGAACTGTCTAAATCAATAGAGAGCTAGAGAAGGAAGGGGTGGGGAAAGAACTAATATTTATTGAATGCCTTCTTTGTGTTATAAGTGCTCTCAGGTTTATTATCAGTTTAATCCTCATAGTAATCCTGGGAGGCAGGTGTTATTACCCCTGCGTTACGGAGGAGGAAAGTGAGCTCAAACCTCAAAGGATAAGTTGCTGCAAGGCCCACAGCTTCCTAATAACTACAATAGCTACTCTTTATGTATGGCTATGCTTGACTCTGTGCCTCAAAGCACTTTACATTTAGATTTATGAAATTTAACCCTATATGGTAGATCACTTTATGCCCATAGTACAGATGAAGTGGGTTGTGTCTCTCGCCATGGTACATAAATGACAACTGGCTGACTCAAATCCTTGCTATTCTCACTACCTTCTGTTGGCTCCCCAAGGAGATGAGTATACTCTTACAATTTCTTTTTCTGTCTTGGGCTTCTCTTCCCCTTTACCAATTTCCATTCAATCATTCTTGTTAGATCTTTCTCTTTGATAAAGGGCCCAGAAGCAAATGTGAGTAGACAGGTTCTTTGTCATCATATTTCATTGTGCAGTCAGTCTCAACAACGGGCCTGTTCTTTCCTTCATCATTTTCCTGTCTAACATAATTTTCTCCTTTCATTGTCTCCAGACATGTTCACTCAAGTACTCCTAAAATGTTTTAAGAAGCAATACAACCCTCACCACATTTTTAAGTTGATGCCTAAAATTTTTATCATGTTTAAAGTGTTATATATATATATAATATATATCCCAACATTTATAAATAATGACATTTAAAAATAAACTGCCATCACTGTTTGATATCTATCCAGTAGAATCTAAATAATATAAAAATTTGAAGCCTCATCATACTTTTAAAATACACATAAATAAGTTGTTCTTTACCTGTAGGAAATTTTCTTTTGTTCATTTTTCTTCTTGAAATTTTGTTTCCATTCAACTTCCTAATATGTTTTATACTTTAAAGTATTTCATGAATAACATACTTCTATGCAACAGAAATATGAAAGCAAATGGAAATAATTTAAAATTTGCTGTTATCATAAGGTTATAAGTATTAGAAAATAATGCACAATTTCTCAAAACAGCATAAACATATGGCAAATATTGATGAGTAACTACTAAACATAAAACATAAAATTGTATTGGAATTGCAGTTCTTAATGAGATGAGTAAAGCCTTTCTCTCCATATATCCAGGGATGAATGTCCAGGGTTCATCATCAGTGTTGAGTGTATGACTTAGCAGATACAGGTGAGAAGGTCTTCACCTAACTTAAATAGGAATGATGGGGTTTTCTTATAGCAACAGGGCTCAATTCTTCAAATTCTTCTCAGTTACATACCCAAAATTACAAGGTAATAAATCAACAAGATTATTTTTAGTAATCTCTCGTCTTGAGGACTTGATTAGGTGTCTTTCCCTTTTGTGGAAGGCAGAGAATTGGAGTCCACCTGACTTGCAAAGGATTAATTACCCTATCATTAGAGTCATTTACTTCTCCTTTCTTGAGCACCCTAGGGGTGTTTACACCCCAGGCAATGCCTTAGTAGGTTTGAGATGAGTGTGAGGTGCCTTCCTATTATCAGTTGATGAAAGAAATTGAGCAGAGGAGATAGGAAAGGAGAAGCAGCCTGATGCCTGGACAACAGGAGCATTCTTGGGTCAAGCCAGTTTAGGAAAGCTTATCTGAAAACACGTTCCCTTGAAACAATCCATGCCACTTACTCCTTGGTAAGACTTCCTATGCCTCCCTCCCCTAATTGAAGGCCCTGGTCTCCAGCATTTGTTTTTCCAAGCCTCAGCTCATTTGTCACTTTTATATTTGTTCTGTGAAATGGGCTTTTTTCCCAGTCTCCATCTTTAGCACATATTTTCTTAAACTTTAAGCTCTTCCAAAAGCTCCCTTAGGATTTTATAATTAAGACAACTCTATGGACACAGATGTTTAACTATCCTGGCCAGTCTAGTAGAAAAGAAAAAGGAAGGAAGGAAGGAAGGAAGAAAGGAAGGAGGAAGGAGAAAGGGAGGAGGAAGGGAGGGAGGAAGATCACAAATACTCTCGAAGATAGGGGTTTTGAGTTATAAGAGGCTGATTCTGTAGAGCAGGACTGTACATCAGGCTGCAGTTACTCAGGCCTGTTAGGTTTACACAGACATTGATTGGGTGCCTCCATTCAACATCTCTCCCTTGCTTCCCTCAGCAAGAGGACCTCCAGCTCATTCTCAATCACACAGCTTTGGTGGTCGATTCCCATCTTGGCTCTGGAGGTATGACCTGGTTGTTGACCTAGGCCAGTGTGTCCCATATTCCTGGCTGTAGGAATTGACTGGTTCGATATAGTATAGAATTCAATCCAAGAGATTTTCCCCATGTTTCTGAGGGGAAAGAAAACATAAAAATTCTTAAATATATATTTTGGCAGAAGCTACTGACGGAGATGCTTTCTTTGCTGCTGCACATGAATGGAGATACCCAGCCCCAGGAGTCTCTGGTAGCCATCTTGCAACCACGAGGGCAGAGGTAGGTCCCTTAGCATCAGACTCAATACTGTTTGTTTGTGATACAATTTCTTTTTCCATCTTGAGCTTGTCAGAGCTCTTGGCAGAACCCAGATATGGAGAGAAAGAAATTGGGAACTCGTCATAGTCATTTGATCTGGGATCAACCTCTCCCTCATTCAGATAAATTCGCAAATATTCTGTAATGTAAACCAATGAATTTTTCTTATTGTTTTTAATCTGAATTGAGTTCCCTATTACTTGCTACATGAAAGTGCTAATTAATATAATCACTACTATAATCAGAACATCTCTGCATTTATTGTATTAGTTCTTTCCCCCCACATTGGAGGAACATATACGTTGGGACTGACATATACATGGTTAAAAGAAAGGATACAATTGCTCAAGATGATTGAAAAGCCACAGACCTAGATTTTCATTAATTTCAGGAAAGAGATATTGGTGCTTATACAGGTCGATATATAGCACCTCTCTTTCTTCTAACTGATCTCCAAAGACATTGAGATCCAGATCAAAATGTTAGCATTCTTATACATGGAGCTGTTGTGGTCATGGCTTAGCTGTATCATCACAGTGGGTTTCCTAATACTTCAGGCCTCAACTGGACTGACTTCACACTCAGCCATAGGCAGTGCTGAACCAGTTTTACAACCAGTTTTGTAAAGCTCCTGACAAAGGTGCACAGATAGTTACCCACTCAACAGACAGGCTAGCTTTTAAGAGAAGGAGGAAAGAGGGGCAGGGCTACAGCACCCAGAGTCTAATCCCCACCAGTATGTCAATCCTCTTATCTGGAATGAGATAAGTGAGGGGCAGGAGCTGAGAGTCAAGAAAGCAAACCTATAAAAATACCTAATTAGAATTGTGGCAAATACTTGGGAGGAAACAAGCAAGACATAGAAAAATAAATAGACAAGGTTGCTTTAAAAGGGGTAATCTGGCAAGCCTTTGTGAGATGACATTAAAACTGAGACTTGAAAGATGAAAAGCAGCCTGTCATTCAAATGAGGGGAGGATGCTGGAGTCAGGAGCTTTCCAGGTAGAAAGGTCAGCAAGTACAAAGCCTCTAAGGTGGGGATGGTGGGGGTGGGAGGTGGCACAAGATGAAGCTGGAGAATTAGGGAAGAGCTGAGCCATGTGGGGCTGTGAGTGATGGTCAGCTCAGGTGTTTGGGCTTTATTCCAAGTGCAATGACAGTTTAAACTGGAGCATGACATGGACTGACACATAGTTTAAAAAGATCCCTTTGGTTGTTCTGAAAACAATCTGGACAGGTGCAAGAGCAGAGACTAGGAGGTCAGCTGGAAGGATATAGCAGTAGCCCAGGTGAGAGCTAATGATTCCCTGCTCTAGAGGAGTAGCCGTGGAGATAAACAGAAAGTGAAGGGTTTGAGACATTTTGGAGCTAGTCTAGACACAGTTTGCTGATGGATTAAATATGATTGAATACGGGAAGTAAGGCACATCTTGATTTTTGGTTAGAGCAAAAACATAATATTTCATTTCCTCCTTCCTTCTTTCCCCTTTTCTTCTCTTTTCCCTCCTCTTCTTTGCCTTCTTTTTATTATTATTATTGCTATTTTTTTCAGTATGTGAAGAATATGTCAATATTTTATATGTAGACGTTGTAGAGATTCAACTGAATCTGCAGTTTACATTTGGGTTATATATTTGGGAATTATCAGTAATTAGATGACATTAAAAGCTATAGGAATGATTGAGAGCGCCTAGGGAGAGAGTAGATAAAGAGAAGAGGCTACGGAATCAGAAAGTTCCCAATATTTAGAGGTCTGATCGAAACAAAGGAGCTGGAAAAAAAAAATGAGAATGAGTAGCCAATTAGATCGGTGCAAAACCAGAGTACAGCATCATAGAAATCAGGAGAAGGGAGTGGCCAACTGTATCACAATGCACTGCAAGAACACTGTAAAATGAAGGCGGAGAGGTCTTCTGTATTTGGTCCCAGGAGGTGTAAGCTTTCTCTTGGCACGAGGAGTTTCAGTGGGGGAAGAAAACGTAACTGTAGTGCGCTGAAGAATGAATGGGAGGTGAAGAAATGGAAACAGAATTATAGGCAACCTTTTTGAAAAATATTGCTGTGAAAGGGAATAAGGGGAATAGAGAAGCTATAAAGAAAAGGAAATGTGGAAATGTATAGCTAAGGAAGATACTGTGTGTGTTTGTTTAAAGATGAGAGATTTTAAAGCTATCTCTTTGCTGATGGAGATGATCCAGGAGAATAGGAGATGGTGACATGCAGCGGAAGAGGGTTAAGCAAAGCAGTGAGGTCCTTGAGAAGGAGACTGAATCCAGAACAGAGACTGGGGGGGAGAGTATAGCTTAGTGGTAGAGCACGTGCTTAGCATACATAGGGTTCTGGGTTCAATCCCCAGTACCTCCATTTAAAAATAAGTAAATAAATAAACCTAATTACCTCCCCTGCAAAAAAGAACAAAGACTGAAAATTGAGAGTGAAGTCCCCTCATCTTCCTAACAGGACAGAAAAAGGAGGTCTCCCACTCCCAGAGGTGAGTAGTCAAAGATGAGGGAGATTTTGTCTGATGCTTCTGCTTTCTTACTAGTGTTGTTCAAGGCTTGAATAGAGTAATGTAGTTATATTATCCCCAATAATTCCAACATCTTATAATAATATTTTAATGCTGCTGTATGTAAGTCAACATATGATTTAGTTTATAACATTTCCATAGATATAAATTCACAAAGAAAAACAAATTTCTTGGTCAGAGCATGTATGCAAATTTTTTCACTATAAGTACATTCTAATCGACCATATTTAGAATTAAATATAAAGGAGCCAAGAGTATTCTATAATTATGATTACAGATATAATCACTGACATTTGGAATCTGTTTGCTTGAGTAGACCAGATAATTGGAATATCATGTTAAATAGATTGAGGTTCAAACCTGTATAAAAGACTGAATGCTTTGCACAGAGAAAAATTTCCATGGCTAGAGAATTGCATTCTTAACCTGGGCCAGGTATTTCAAAAACATACTGCTTCAGTCATAAGGGAGCAAAAGGAGAGGGTGGCATGGGTGGGAAGAGAAACATTACAGAAGACTATATGCAAACTCATCAGCACTTTTGGAAAAACAACACAAGGCCACAATCAAATCAGTAACATTATCTTTGGCCTATAAAGAACAGTACAGCTTTTGGCTTGACTATCATCCTTAATAACTTATCTTATTGTTACATAATGTGTTTCCTTAAGAAAACTCAAAAAGCCCTAAACAATGTCTTTAGAATATTCTGAAGCTGAGAGCAGAAGGGAAGTTGTCTAGGCCGGTGCTGTCCAATAGAAATATATCACGAGCCATGTATATAAGTAAAAATTTTCTAGTAGCTACACTTGTTTAAAAAGTAAAAGAAATAGGTAAGATTAATTTGAATATTATATTTTATATAACCCAATATATCTAAAATATCGTTTGAATACATAATGAATATAAAAAAGTGGTCATGAGATCTATTCCATTCTGTTGTTGGTACTAAGTCTTTGAAATCTGGTGTGCATTTAACACTTACAGCACATCTAAGTTTGGACTGGCCACATTTCAAGGGCTCACTAGCCACGTGGCATCTCAATTCTAGAGAATAATAGAAAGGGTGATGGTCACAGAATACAAAGTACGGGCTTTATTGCAAGCGACTATAATGTGAGTCAGAGTTTGTCACTGTCCTGCTCAAAATCCTCCCGATTTCTCGTCAGTCCTAGAACAGCAGCTAAACTCTTACCTCTGAGGCTGAGCATGATGCAGCCATGCAGCCTCGCCTTCCTTACCAACTCTATGGCCTTCCAATTTCAATCTCCCTTTCACTCATTCTGCACCCCCACCCACCCCCACCCCCACCTCAGGATTGTGGCACTTCCTCCTCCTTCAGCTTGGAATGCATCTTTTTCGGGCTCAATCCCTGAATTTATCTAGGTTTTTGCCAAAATGTCATCTCAGGAAGGCCTATGATCTAAAATAGCTCTCCTCCTTAGCCACTCTCCAGCTACTTACCTTGATTTCTTGGTATTCATTACACTATGCTAAAAGTACATGTGCATTTTTTCATTTGTTTGCTGTCCATCTCCTCCACTAGAAAGTAAGTCCTATGAGGCCAGGGGCATTGCTTTGTACACTGTTGGATCACCAACACCTGGAATAGTGCCTGACACACACCAGGTTTGTTGACTCAATGGGTGAATAGTGTTATTTCTGGCAGATCATTTAGAGGGTGCAGTGCAGTGTTTAGGGCACCACTGTGTCCATTCTTTCTTTCCTCTCATTCTTCTCCATAAAGTAACTAGAGGCATCTTAATAAAATGCAAGTCTGATCTCACTATCACCCTCAGAGCCTCATTGCTTAGAAAGCTCCAAGGTAATGAGTAGCTCCCTATTGCCTTTAAGATAAAGCCAAATCTGGGGGAAAACTTAATTATATATGTTTGAGAAGTTGTACATGAACACTTGCTGCAAACAAACAAAACAGCATTACTCTGACACACTCTCTCCCACAGCACTGTCCACTATTTCTCATTTATTAGCACCCCCCAGCAGCAACCACTATCAATTATTTTACCTGATTCTTTTGGGATAATCTCCATGTCTCTAAAGCACATGTCTAAACTGGTATTTTAAATAATTTCAGTGACTTCCACTCTAGAAGATGAAGATTCAGCTTATTTTCACTAAACCCTATGATACCCACCATATACATGAATACTTACCATTCCTCGTCCTCTCAACATGGTCATGACTTAACTGTAGTGCATTCAGTAGTTACACTGATACGACTTTGTAAATGTTATTCACATCTGAGCCAAAGAGTACTATGCTATGAATACTTTTCTTTCCCTGTACAACTTTTTGAGTTAATAATTTACCCTGACCCCTGCCCTGATAACCTGGTTTTTGTAATAAAGAGGCTTGGCTCCATTTTTGATGTTTGACTGTTGGCAGCTTTCAATCTCCACCCTTGTTTCCT